CTGCCTGCAGGGCTGTGTCAGCAGCTCCCTGCGCGGCTCAATTGGATTCTGCTGGTGGAAGGTGACCAGGGCGTCCAGTGAGGTGTGGGCCACCTTCTCCCCGGGGATTATGAAAGTTCCATCATCCAAGAGCTTCACCATGAAATGGCAGCAGCTGCTTTGGGCTCTGCGGAGACACTGAGGGGGCTGGGACATTCTGCTCCCTCTCATCCCTGCCCCAAGTCCGCCCCCCTACGCCCCTCCGAGCCCTTGGGCTGGCAGCGTCACTGCTACAGCCAGACTACCCCAGGTTCCCATGCAGGCTTCTTCACTGACTAGCCACGCAACACCCAGCAGGTTACTAACCTCGCTGTGCCTCAGTTTCCCCCATTTTAACACAGGAGTACAAAGGCTGACCTCAGATAAAACACGCTACTACAGACAAAAGCTTAACTTATTGCCTGGCTAGGCGTAAGTGATCAATAGAAATGATAATGAAAGCTGGGCATGGTGGCTCACGCCTGTAATCCCGGCACTTTGGGAGGCTGAGTAAGGCGGATTACTCGAGGCCAGGAGTTGCAGACCAGCCTGGCCAACATGGTGAAACCTTGTCTCTCCTAAAAATACAAAAATTAGCCAGGTGTGGTGGCATGTTACAGGCCGAGAAAATGGGGGTCGTGACCAACTCAGTATAGTACTGGAGGCTATGTGAGTAAATGGAAAACTGTTCTCATGAAAGCAGGATGTTGGAAAACTGACAACTGTGTTTGCTGCCAGAAGGAGTGCTGAGGGCAGTCACGCCCCAAGCACAGTGTTCCTTGTGGTTAACTATAGGCACGTCTGAAGCCTGTTGTACAAAGAAAGCAATTATGTGTACCTGTGAAAAGTCAAGCAGCTGACCAACTGTTACCTCTCCCTTCCTGCTCTTTCTATCTAATAAATACGAAGGGCTGTGGAAGCTCAGAGCTGCCTTCGCTCACTAGAAGCAAGGAGCCCCCGACCCCTACTTTTAAAACAGATTTTTTGTCTTTGTCTTAATTTCTACGTCTGCCTCCTTCATTCCCTCCCATAGGAACCGACAGCAACAGTGGCAGGTGCCTGGAATCCCAGCTACTGGGGAGGCTGAGGCAGGGGAATTGCTTGAACCCAGGAGGTGGAAGTTGCAGTGAGCTGAGATCATGCCACTGCACTCCAGCCTGGGTGACAGCGCGAGACTCTGTCTCAAAAAGAAAAGCAAAAAGAAAGCCCCAACCTAAGGCTGTGTGCCTGGCACACAGCAAGTGCTGAATAAATGCTCAGTTAACCAATGAATGTATATTAATGGCTCTCTATGTGCTGACTGTATCTCAGTTAATCCTCACATGAACACTCTGAATTAAAGTGTGACACTCCTTTGCTGAAGGCACAGAGAGGTTGAGTAACTTGTCTAAGGTCACAGAGCATGTAATGGCAGAGCTGAGCCTTGGATAAGTTTTTCCCACCGTGGGTGACTCTGTAATTGAGCCACTGGGTTTTTCTTCCTTTGGCCTGGAATCCTCTGGATTTGTTTGGCTTTCAGGTCTTAAGGAGCTGGGCTTCCCTGGGTTTCCCTAACACACAGTCAGGGAATCACTAATTACATTGTGAGGGGTGGAGGGAGAGAGGCTGCCCATCTTAGGTCCCCAGCAGCTCCCGTTCTCAGACCCACGGCCTCAGTTACTGCTGCTTTCTGAGAAGCTATGACATGAAGCACCCCTTGCCCCCTCCAAGGAAACCTCAGAGCCCACCTGCCCCTGCCCTGGCCTCCGGCCCAGGCCTTACTTGTAAGAAAGTGTGTAGCCCACGTGGCTGTGACTGACCCTGATGAGAAAGGATCCCAGCGGCTGTGACTCCAGCAAGTCCTCAGCATCCCTGGAAGGGCACACACAGAAAGGAAATGACACACACACAGAAAGGAAATGACACAGTCCAGCCACCCCGCGTACCAGTTAAACTCCGGGGGCCATGGGATCATTCATGCAGAAGGCTGGTAGTTTTCATTTTTCTTTTTTTCTTTTCTTTTTTTTTTCAGACAGTCTTGCTCTGTC